ACTGGGGCTTTGAGCCCTTGAGGGGCTCTGAACAGCTCTCCAGGTTGCCTTCTGTTAGAATTACAGCATGTTCCTTTCTTAGCATAGCACTGATGTCACTAAAGTGGCGTTCTTTCACCCAGTGTGCAAGAGCCAATTCAAACACAGTCAAGATGTTTGATTTTATTTCATGTCTGTGCAGACATGGGTGCAAGGTGATAAATCCACAAAGCTAGCACACCTTCAGTATGCCAGGAGCCCATTTTTATACACTTCAAATCAATAGAAATCAACATGTCCTGCACACGTAACAACCTATAGTAAAAAACTATAGTAATTGGCTTATCATTGATTTGCCTCCATTTAAAGATACAGTACACACTTTACTATGCATGCTCTGTGAAGAAGGGGCTAATGTGAGTAAGGGAAAAGCTTAGCCTGCAGGCTAATCTTAACCTGTGGGTATTTTACAATGTCAATGAGCCCAAAGTTTGAACAGAGTTGTTCTTTGGCTTTGTAGTTTGATTTATAGTGTCCTCCTGTTCTTCACTTCTCTGGTCATAGCTCTTGGTTCGTCGAGGCTTGGTTATTCCCTCTTTTTTCCCAAGTCCTTTTACTTGTTCTGTACTGTGCTTCAGAGATTCAGTGAATTTTTAACCTTCTCGTGGTACTTCATTTCATCAGCACCACACTATACCTTCCTAACAGTGCAGAGGAGAAAGTACCCTGCAGCTTTCTAACTGTCCATGGGAGGGCTGGGGCATCATCACCCTGCCCACAAGACTGAGAAGGGCAGTCAAACCCCAGGAAAATATCTGCTTCTGGTGCCCAACTACAATCCCCCTGTCTGACAGACAATGCACAAGCTGAAGGAACTAGAACACGGCTCCCCTCTGCTTTGGTCCCAGTAGGATGAGGCACCACAAGGGACACAGTTCAAGATAAGGCCTGGCATGTTTCTGTTGCTCCTCCTCCCCTTCAGGGAAGCTGATTAGAAACACCTCTACTGCAAGCTCTCGGCAGTCAGGCACTACCAAAGTACCTGTACTTCATGTCTGGGTGCTCTTTGGAGTCCCATTAGGGTGGGTTTCAGCTTTCTTTTTCTGAAATGTTTTTGGCTTAGTAAGGCAGCATGGAAAACAATCTACCCAGAGATGTCCCTAGTGACTAGGTAGACTATTCAGCAGCTGTGTCTCCTGCTATTAGCACCATAATTTAATTGGAATGTTCATTCTGTCTTTTGCCATTGCTGGTCTGCAGCTTGGTATGAGCAACAGATTTTGGCTCTGCAAGCATGTCAGATGAGCTAAAAAAGAAAAGGGCCACTTCTCATCTGCCACACATCAATGAAATGCTGGCTGGTGGGGGTCAGCCACAGTGTGCCTCTGATTTCTGTGGATGAGGAGCTTACCTTATTTCAGTATTTTTGTCCCAAGTCCTGTCAACCAGCGATGAGCCGCAGAATATTAGGAGTCGCAATGAGCTCACATTTGGGAGTTCTGCCAAAGGGTGCACCTGACCACTGATGTAACTCTTGCTGCTGTCCCCAAGACAGACCACTGAGCAATACTTTTGTGGCAAACAATAGATCATGGATTTGTGAGAAAATAATTACCCACCTTTTCTGTGCCTGCTGTTCAACTCTGTTTGCTTTGAACTTGTAACTCCCTGTCTGGCATCGTCTTGCACACAATTGCCTTTGATTACAAGACAGTGACAAGAGCAGAGACTGACTCACAAGGGGAAAAGATGCTTCTGACTGCTTGATCATTCCCTGCTGGTCCAGCCTACTGAATAAATCTGTGTTGGGTCTCAAAGTAACACCCTGCCGTCTCGCCTGGAGGTGTCCCAGGTTCCCAAAGCCACAGGAACATAAAGGTTTGAGGAAGACAGGTTGCAGCTCTGCATGATTATGGATGCATTTAATTTCACATCTTCACATCTGCTCTCTGCAGAACCTCCTCCTTGCTTTCCACTTTTGGGAGGAATTACCAATTTTACTGCTGCTACAACATTCAGGCACAAGGAACTTAAGAGATAAAGAGCATCAGTCTTGTGCTGCCTTGCAAACAGTGGGAGGGGAGGATGAATTTAGGACAGTGTGCTACACTACAGTTGGGAAAGCTGACTTTAATGGTTGCTTGTTTCCCACACTTTCTACGCAATCTTGAGGAAGCCAAATTGTGAAACTGTCAAAGGTGTCAAAACCCAAAGCTACACACAGCTCGCTGGAGGGGCTTTAAAACCATCAGGGGACTTGAATCTCCCAGGATTTTGTCAAATAAAGATAAAACATTCTTCTTGCCATTACAGCACAAGGCCCCTGGGGACCATAGCAGGGGAAAGCTGTGTCTGTTCAGAGGTAGCCAGTTGAGTAGTGGGAAGAGAAAGGGATCTCAGATGCTTTTCATTGCAAGTAAGACCTGTTAAGTCCTGCCTAAAATCATGGAGGCTCCCTAAATATCAGGACAGCTATTTCTTCTCATTAAACACAAAAATCTTACAGGCTTACACTCTCTAACATCCTCTCCACAGTCCCTTCTATGATCAAATGCAAACATTTGTGGCACTGAGGTTACTTCTTCCCCTTTCTATTAAGAGGTGATGCATTCAGGCATCGGGGTGGCCAACCTCACTCTTCTCAAAGCCTGAAGAGGCAGCTGTGAGGACATGGAGAAAATTAATCATTTGCACTAAAAACTGGCTAGAATTATCACATGCCTGGGACTTTTGTCTCTCACTGTGCTTCTGCTCCTGCCTACAAGTCTCTCTCAAGTGTTCACCTGCATCTCCACTCTGATGTGGTAGCTGGGGGAAGGCACTTTGATCTACCCAGCCCAGGCTAACTGCTCCTCATCTCTGCCCTCTGTCAGGAAGAAACATCATCCTTTCTGCCTCCTGAGGCATGTTCTCTTGTGGCAGAAGTACAGGTTAAAAAGCATAGCTACAGCTGGGTTTCTCAGGGAGCCACACAATAAAAGCAAAGCTGACAAGACAGGAAGGCAAAGCACAGATAAGAACACCAAGGACAGAACTCAGACAGTTACTAACATATCCACAGCATGATCAAAACCTGAATGTCAAAATCTGTTATTCAATGATGTTAAATTAGAAAAGGCAACAATAAGCATAATCTGATCATCGTCATGACTGTCCATTCAATTTCCCCATGATCTCCTGCACTGTGAAGCTACTTGAGCCTGAATCACTCATTTATCCGCTTGTTTCACATCAGCATAACTCCACTGGTGCCATGTTGAAGTCTGAAGTACATCTGTCTGTCAAAGACATTTGGCGTTAGTTCAAGTAATGTTTACTGTATCAGCTGCTGCTTGTTTCTGGAAAACTTCAGCTCAGTCAACTGTATATGTGCCAGAAATAAAATAATCAAATGTATATGGGTACTCTACATAAGCACAAAATGATCTGTGACCTCATTTATTGTAGCTTCTTATGCATTCGTTTTCTCAGCACCCACTAGGGAAAACATAATGTGAGTGAGGGACAGGCTGCAAGAAATGACATCTGATGCCCCTCCAGGGCAGTCTTTTCTGCCTCAGTCTCTTCTGAATCACATAGACAAGAAGTATAAATCAAGCTTATGAATCTGGACTGCTGTATGGAATGCGCTTCTAAAATATTAATGTCCTGCCCATTACACTGTAATCTTACTTTATTTGCACACAAATAAACAAGATAAGTTAAACTTTATAAAGAAAATATATCCTACAGCTGCACAGACTTAATGCTAACTGCACTAAACTTACCATACAGCTCTTTCTTCACTTAAAAAACATATATATATATATGCACCATTATTATTTTTATATACATATATATATATAAGGAAACTACCTGTAAGTACAATGGAAAAATACATTCAAAAGGTTTTATAAAACTTGGTGCAATATTATTTTGACTGTAATAAAAAATACTTATGAGAGAAAGAAAAATGCACAGAGAAACATAAATACCTAACTTTTAGTGTTTGTCTAAATCCTGAAAAGAAAATCTGGTCTTTGGTATTGCTAAACAGAGCTAGTGGAAAGCATCTACAGTCCCAGCTTACAGACTCTGTTCCATCCTCTCTGACTGTGTGTGCTGACCACCATTTTGCACAGGCTTTGCTGGCTGAAAGTTTCCATAATAATTTGCAAACAAGCAGGGAAACAAAACCAGCCGAACATGTAGTGTCTTCTTTCAAGGGCTCAATCCAACCTTCATTAAATTCAATGGAAAATGTTCTACTGCCTTATTCGGACTGAAGGTTATACAAAATATTTAAATTGATTTGCTGTCAAAGCAATGGCCACTCAGCAGTAAAAGATAATTATAACCATGTAACAAACCATGGAACTGCCCCTGTGGCAGTCCCTCCCTCACCCGGTGGAAAAGTCATGACCAGCAGCAGCTAGGAAGACTATCCAGCAGTAACTAAATCCTGAGCACATAGTACAAGTTTCCTGGGAGGTTTTCCACCCAGCACGTGAAATGCAGTGAGCTGTGGGAGCTTCAGTATTGAAATTTAGATTGGACTTCATCTCTGTGGGAGCTGAAACAAGTCCTAGCAAGGGTTGCAGACTCATCAATCCCATAAGCCCAGCAGGACAACCATGAAGATCCCTGTTTCAACAGCAGTTGTGGTTCTTAACAGAGAGCAACAGAATTTTTCTATATAAACCATGAATGCACAACATCCAACTGCATTTTTTTTCCCTGCAAGGTAAATGCTTTTTGTCCATCTATTTTATCTTCTCACTACATAAAAGCAAAACATTTTAAGAAATAGACATGGCTCTTTGAAGAAGTAAGGGAAATGCACACCATAGTCTGCTTCTTTAGGCAACTTCTATTATGTATATACCTTGTTTCCTACTGGATTTTCATTTGACCTGTGTCATATATTCAGCCTGTTGCGAAACTCAACGGACAGAGAGGCAGCTTCCACAGTGATACCCTTTTAGCTGCAGCATCAGATCAAATCAACCTTTCAGTAAAAGTCTCTTTTATACACATTTCTGTATTAATGCAATAGTGGACATTATGGGGAAAAAGTGAAACACAGCAGACTTTATATAAAATGAAAAATAAGTGCCTATAGTTGTCAGCTGACAAATGCCACAGAGTTGTTGGCTTCCAATCCTCTCCATCCAAAATAAAGACATATGGTAACCACATTAACATCAAAGTATTAGCTACTGACATTTCTAATGGCAAAACCATAAATCCGACCCGTAGTGTCTGAAAATATTCGTAGAGACACTGTGTATCAAGACACATTCAGGCTACGTCTGTTGACTGAATGCATGCCCTTGTTATAAAGAAATGGACACAGATTTTGGTGCATTGTCCAAACAAGCTCTGGTTGCTGTACGGTCTTCAATTCTTCAAGGAGAACTGTGTAGTTTGTAGCAAGAAACAAGACAGCGGGTTTAGAACTGAAGCCTATGAGTCTCTATACATGTCCCAGAAGAAACGACTATCAGAAATCCTTGTCCCAGCCTGAAAGTTCATCTGGAGGGGTTCCCTCTTCAGGTGGATAGCTGTCAAAGTAGCTGTAATCAGTTGGTCCAGACAACTAGGACATTAAAAGCACAAACAAATGGTTGTTTCAGAAAGTAACTTTTGAAAATGTTCTCCATTGATTATGCATCATTTTTATTGCTACCAGTGTGGAGATGAAAGGCCGGTATGATACAGGCGACTTGTTTCAATGGATGCAATTCCTCATTCTTTAAAAGATAAACCTCCAGTAATTAAATTGTACAATAGAGCAATGGCATTAGCCTTCCTATACAAAAGTATTTCCCAAATACTATCAACTCCAGGATTTCACCAAAAGCCCTACAAAGTCAGTAAGAAAGCTGGGCCATGCTGCACAGAATTTTTATTCTACTTTCTTTAAGATCAAATCTACATTCACAGGGTAGCTACTCAACACAGACCTCACAATTATTTTTTGTTTCAAACTGAGGTCAAAGTGAGTTTCAAATTCTTTACTCTCAATGTTTTTTCATTTTAGGGCAAAGAGGAATAGGCCATTTAAAACAGGGAGCTTACTCAAGGGTGTGTTGTAACTCAATAGTAAGAGAACGCAGGAATTTGTACTCTGCACAGTAATATGAACAATACGTCTTAATAATGTGCCCATTACCAAGGAAAATATGTTTTTTTCAGTATTAGTTTCTGACCAAACACCATTTATTCTAGTAATGGTGAAAATCTAACGCAAAGTACACAGGCAGAATAATATTTCCATTATTTAACTCGATTTATGTATTTCTTGCTGTTTCTTTCATGCAATTTTCACTAAAAACATCAAATTGTAATAATTCAAATGCATCTATGGGAAATTTTGCTATTGCCATCAGTTGTTCTTTGAAGCCAAGCTATATTAGTAAAGCGTTATGATATTGAAAGCCAAAGCCAGTACCTCTCTTTTTAAAGGTGATGTTAATTTCCTCACTTTCAGACTATCCCAGTTAAAACCACTCAACCACCTGATTAAAAAGAAATGAAAGACAGACAGGGAGAGACCAAAAGAGAAAGACAGGTTGTTTCCTGTCATTATACTATGAAGAGCTGAAAAACATGTGAACAAGGACTGTAAGAAATTTTTTTTATGACAACTCCTGCCCATGTAACAGCACAGTTATTAGAAAGAGGAAACTCGAGCACTGTCATTGCCATACAAGGAAGGGAGAGCTTCAGGACCACCAGAAACACTGGCACTTCTGTACAGGGGAGATGCAGTGACAGGCAGGTTAATACATGCATAAGTACAGTCATGCAAAGACTTATGTGTCTCCTTGGAATTCCACCCTCTTTACAGCATGAGAAGAGGGAGAGAAACAGAAAAGTCAAAGAACATGCACAAAGTGCATGGCTTAGAAACAACTCAGATAAAAAAAGAAAGCAGAAAATGTTTAAGCCATGCACTTTGTGCATGTTCTTTGACTTCTTCATTAGTTTCATTAGGACAAAAACCTAGTATTGCTTTGGAGCTCTTAATTACTCATTCTTAAAAAGCAACTGTTTAAGGGTCAGGAGGTCTGAAAGGTAGATGCTGAACTGGCATCAATTTCCCTGAGAACTAAATTAAAATCCTACATCAACAACCTGCAACAAAACCAGTAAAAAATAAGACATTTCTAGATAAACATGTTGAGGATTTATGCTCATATCATCACTTGGTGTAACTCAAATGCAACAGTACTGTTGCTGTAGCTCAGGCTACAGCACTACTGAGCTCAGCTGCAAATGCATTCAATAGCAACAGAAATCTCTCTTTATGGGTTTACCAGACTGGGTTCTAAAATATTAAAAATATTTCAAATTAAACCCCAAATTTTCTTCTTGGCAGATTCTTTTGTTTACCTGTGCTTCTTGATGTCATTAATTCCATTTCTCAAATTGCCTAATCTTTCTGTAGGGTTTTGCCTTCAAAGAAAGAGGAAAAAAATAAGGATAAGAATTTATAAAATATTCCTATTTATTTAAAGAGCATTTATAGGTCCTAACTGCTTGTTTTTAACAGTTACACAGGGATGTAGCTTGCATAAAACATGTGGCCTCATAAGGAGGCATAATGAGGTTTTGCTCACTGCTCCTTTCTTTTAAGGATGGAGAAACCTTCTAGGAAGCCAGAACAGTGTCACCTGGCTGTGAGAAGCAGCAGAGTGAAATCAACTGGCTGAGTTTTGGTTGCACATCTTTTTTTTCCCCTTGACCAGCAGGCCTGGTTATGAGTTACAAGAGGAGCCAAATCAAAATTTACAAAGTTCCTTTCAAATGCTGGTACACAAGCATGTTGCACACTGTTCCTAGTCCCATGGATGAAATCCCACAGGAACTGGGAGTTCAAAGTCAGCAGTGCATGCCACTGTGCACTAATGCTTCTGAGTTATGCTGGCCCTTTTGAAATACTGCCTTTTGCATTTTCAAATGGGCTTAGGTCAGTCTTTAAGTGCCCTATGTTTTCTGTAGAAACTATATGACTAAGTAAGTTTGGAAGCATTTTTTTTTAACCAATGTGCTTGATAGCAAAATCAAATTCCTTAGCTCTTTCCTCAGCCCACGCTCCATAAGTTTTCCCTAAGATGTGTTTCAGAAAAAAGTCACAGCTATAGAGAAAGCCCAGAGCCAACATTTGTAGATGCTGCCTCTGCAGACTAAGAGGTGTGATACATATTCAGAGGCACGCAATGCATACTGAATATAATCAGAATGGACCGTGCTATGCATAACAATTCTAAATCAAGTTGTCACTCTAGTTTGAATTCTAAAAGAGCTCAATGTATTCACACCCAGGCTTTGCCACAGACTGCCCCTCCCACCTGCAGAGTCTGCGGATCAAATCCTCAGGCCGCCTTGTTATTGTTTTAGGAAAATCCAGCTTTTCAATGCCTTTGAGAATCAAATTATACGTCATCATTTGATCAGCCCCAGAGAATGGCGGACTAGAAAAAGAAAGCGACACTGATAAATGGAAGTCTGGCAAGAGCAGATGTGGCCATTACCTATCAAATAAAATATTTGAGGTTATGGAAAAAAAGCCCACCTTTCTAGTTTTACAACCTTCACCCTTTCAGCCTGTTTAAGATATAAGGTTTGAGAATGAGAAGCTTCCTGTAGGTACCAGGGAAAATGCATGACCATATGTGTCCCTCTAAGCCAGCTCTGCCTCTGGTCTAATTCAGAGAAGCTTCCATGTTGTGTTACCACTGAGCATTCACAAAGAATTGTCATGGGAATGTGTATGGAGGCAAAGAATGAGCCCTGCTCACAGTTCACCCACCCCACTGTACCCCATCACCCACTAAGGAGGAAAACAACAGTCTTTTGTCAGTTGTTCCTCACAGGAAACATCATTATCATCATCATCAGTTAATGGAGCTCTACACCAGTTAATTATAGGCTGTGCCTGGCCCTTTCCTTGGATAGGTAAGCCAAAATTGAGTATATGTACCACACTTTGTCTCTCGCATTGCTGAAATGATGGAAGGTAAGACATGCGCAAGAAACAAAAACAAGCATCATTTTGCAAGTCTCTTTACTGATCCACCCCCCAACTGTTTATTTTAAAAGTAACTTTAAAAGGTCTCTAAAAACAAACAAAAAAGGTAAGAACTTAGAGTAGGAGGCACTTACCTTCCAGTAAGGAGTTCATACACAAGAATCCCAAGGGACCAAAAATCCACACTGAAGTCATGGCCTTTACTCAGAATGACTTCAGGAGCAACATACTCAGGGGTTCCACAAAACGTCCAGGTTTTCTGCCCTGATCCAATCTTCTTTGCAAATCCAAAGTCAACCTGATCAAAATCAACATATGCTGCATAATGCAGAGGTGTTTTGCACTGGGAAGCCTTAAAATCTTAATTCCTTCCTCCCCTCCTGCAAAGATCTCAGAGTTGCTAGTTTAGATCTAAAACAACTACACAGTGTAGTTGTGAAGGAAAGAGAAGTAATTCCACTGGATTACTGAATGTTATAAAACAGATCAATTTATTATCACAAGTAATTTTCTGACTTATTTTCCTTTTGGAGACAACAACCCATGATTTCCTTGAGGACATGAGATTTACCACCCCTGGAACACGCTGGGTTGCTCATTGTCCTCAGAGAGGATATTTCAAATTCTTTGAGGGGTATTCTTGTTGCACTTTTCGCAGTCACAGTCAAGTATGGCAGTTCTTTACTGTGTTCCCTCTCTACAAAGAGAGGGAACCTCTGATTGTAGATTGAATGAATGAATGTAGAACCTAAGATTGCTTGAGCCTGGACAGGGAGGTAATTCTGCATCTGGGAAATGTAGTTCCTGGCTTTACATTAAAACTAGCTCCTGAGAGAATTTTTTTTTTTTTGCTATTTATGCTGTGGCAAGAGCTCTCAGAGACTGCAAATCCCAAGTTTGTCTGTGGCTTACAATGCCTTTGTTTCTCATTGTGTAATGAGAAGCCTGCCCTCTATTCTACTGAAGCGCAAGAGTTATTGAACTCTGGGACTCTAGTTCTGTAATTACATGCTCTCTATTTATATTCCTCTTGCAAAGAAACAGGAGACAAAAAGATAACATTACAGTGGATTACATCTTACCAGTTTTATATATCCTTCGGCATCCAAAATTAAGTTTTCTGGCTTCAGGTCTCTGTAGATTATTCCTATGTGATGTAGATAGTCAAAAGCCTCTGTCACACACCCAACACAGAACTTGGTGGTGAATTCATCAAAGCTGCCTCTGGAACAAAAACAATCAATATCCTTACAGACAGTTAAGTTCTAAAAATGCCTTACTTATTAACCAGATAACATATAACACCCAGAATATTAACCAAAATGAAACAAAAATATTTTCATTGGATAAGCCTTGAATAGAGAACCTACTCAGTAGACCTATGGAGCTGATTGGTGATTTTAAAGGGCAAAGTTACACTTTGTTTGCTGTTACCTGTCTCTCAGCAAGCTCCACAATTCCCCTCCAAGGCAAGCCTCCAGAAGCATGTATACATACTTATTATCTTTGAATGTGCGATATAGTCTGTGGAGACAAATGGCAGCAATTTAGGAAAACCAAAATAAATGCGAGACTTGCAGTGTCTTCTCCCCAGAACTCATCTATGCCAAACCTAATTCCTAATAATGCTGTTCAGTGGGTCAGCTGAGGGTCAACATTCAAGGAAACCTTATGGTCAACTTACTTTACAACGAATGGAGAACATATCTGCTCAAGGATTTTCTTTTCAGAATAGATATGCTCTTGTTGTTTGGTGTCCACTACATGTTTCTTCTTTATACACTTCATAGCAAAAGCCATGTTCTCATTTTTCACTTTAACCTGTGAATAAAAATGAAGAATACATATGAGGCAAAGAAAGGATATTTTACCAATCAGTTCTCAATAGGTATACTGATATCTATCTTTTTCAACACAGCACAGGACTAAAATTGATGGCTGTAGTGAGGGACAAATTTCAGATATTTTGCAGAACTGTTATGGATGATTTTAAGTCAAGCATCAGATCTTTTTAGTTTTCCAGTCCCCACTTGCAAGGTGAAATAGGAGCAGTTCGGATAGGTACTACATACTACAATAAGTTTATACTGCAGTGGGTCCTAATTTCAATTTAAGATTTCTAACCACCAGCATAATACAAAAGAACAAAAAGCAGAGGCAGTTTAGGAAAAACGTTTACAAATGATTTTGCATTATGCTGAAATATTATCCAATATGCAATAAAAAGATGGAAGTTAAAACAGGGCTTCTCAGAAACCAAGGAAGCAGTTATCTGTATTCTACAGCTGGATGAGAATTCAATTTTTAGCTTATTATTCAGGTGATGCTGTAGAATTTCCAGTGTGCAAGTTTTGGGGTTTTTTTTGTGAAGCATGAATCAGAATAAAACAATTGATGGTTTAACTACTGTGAAGGATTATTGACTTCACTAAAACCACAAAGTCTCCTTTAATTTACCATTACCTTCAGCAGCCTGCGCAAAATGTTCTCAGGCTTTTCTTAGATGTTTGCTACTCAGTCAGGGGAGAGCGGAATTTAAGACTTTAGGCTCATGAGGCTCCTGGTATCCCAGAAACACAGCTGTTCATGCTATTGAATATGGCTCAAAAGAGCCATTAAAAATTGTTGGAAATTTCACAGTCAACACAGCTCAGAGATAGATCACACTGGTTATAGCTGCTGTGGGGCATCCTGAAGCAATTCTAACAACACAGACTAAGTGATGCTGTGGAGATTACTTCAGGTCCAAGCAGAGTCTGGGGAAAAGGCCTGCAATTCAGGGAACACAATGCAGGTAAGCACATCTGTAAGCTCCACATGCACAAACTGATGACTGTGTCTAGTGACCAGGAAGATACTTTTAACAACAGGAGATGAAGGCACACAAGAATCGACTTGCTTCTTTGCACATCCAAGTCCTGAAATATTTTTTAACTACGCATTGCTTTATGCAGAGTTTTTCTGCCTGAGAGGCACAAGCATGGAGAATATTAAAATCCTTCACATTATTGAGTGGCTAAATTAATCATCTAAGACAGAGAACTATTTGAATATGTTTAAAACAACGTCTTACAAGCTCAACCCTTCCGAACCCACCAACACCCAGAGTTGTGACAACTTCTAAATTCTTGAATGGGGAAGGAGGGAACTGGGCTACTTTCTCCTGCAGCTCTATCATCTCCAAAGACACCTCTTTGGTCAGCTGTCCACAGAAGGATCTCCCTCTGCATTAAGAAAATTAACACGGGTTAGTGCTCTTCCTTGCCATTAATTTTAATGCTCCTATATAGAGGAAAGAAAAGGAAAAGGACAAGAAAAGGAAAAGGACAAGAAAAGGAAAA